GATATAATGGGAGGCTAATCGATGCCCGGGTGCGGTCAAGGGATGGCTCCCTATTGCTCAACCACGTTATGTATGCTGATGACTTGGTAATAGCTGCTCAGTCAGAGGAGGAGTTGGAGACGCTGCTGCTGAGACTGGAGCGTGCCACTAAGAGGTGGGGCCTTACCATCAGCCCCACCAAAACCAAGCACCTGCCTGGGTATTTTGTACCATCGGACACTCCACCCCCACAACTCCCAATCGGTGATGGGGCAGTTGTGGAGAGAGTGGAGAGTTTCCCATACCTGGGCAGTGTGCTTATGACTGGCACCAGTTTAACAGCAGAGGTCTCACTCCGAATCAGTCGAGCGGCAATATCTTTTCATCGGTTGCGTAACGCTGTGTGGAAGCTACCTGGTCTGTCGCTCCGCACTAAGCTTCAGGTCTTCTCGGCCACGGTCATTCCCTCCCTTCTCTACGCTTGCGAAACGTGGACCCCCCTAATGGAACATCTTCGCCGGTTAGAAACATTTAGGCTGGCCTGCCTACGATCCATCCTGGGTTTAACCAGACTGGATTGTGTGAGGAGCTCACAAATTCTTGAAAGATCTGGGCAGGGTCCCATCGGTGAGCTCCTCCGGCAGGCAAGGCTGCGATGGCTGGGTCATGTAGCCCGCATGCCCAGCCACCGCATGCCGAAACAGCTTTTGTTTGGCCGGATTGAGGGGGCTAAGCGGGCGCGGCACGGGCTAGAGAAGAGATGGAGTGATGTGGTACAGGAGGACGTGGAGCTGAGTGGACTTGCCGATGACTGGTACCAGCGGTGTCAAGATCGGCCTCTGTGGAGGAGGCTCGTGAAGGATGCTACTGGGCAGTTGGAGGCAGTCGCCCTCCAACAACAACGGAGGGCGGAGGAGCGACGCTCACAACAGCGAGCGGAGCGCTGGGTGGCTAAAGCACAGCAGGTTGGCACAGTAGGGGGCACAGGTGGTGCATCAGCCAGTCATCTCAGTCAGTCGACCCGTGGCACCTGGGTCTGCCCCGTGACCTCCTGCCAGCGGGCGTTCGACACTTCACGTGGCCTCAGGGTGCACATAGCCTGGCACAAGCGTCGTGGTGACGTCACCGCCACTTAGTGGCGAATGGCGGTTGTTGTTGTTGTTGTATCACTGTGTGTGTCACTGTGTGTATGACTGTCTCACTGTGTGTGTGTCACTGTGTGTGTCACTGTGTGTGTATCACTGTGTGTGTGTGTCTCACTGTGTGTCACTGTGTATGTCACTGTGTGTGTGTAGGCAGCTGCGCGTCACCGCTGTGTGTGTCACTGTGTGTGTGTCTCACTGTGTCACTGTGTGTGTGTGTGTCACTGTGTGTGTCTCACTGTGTGTATGACTGTGTCACTGTCACTGTGTGTGTGTCACTGTGTCACTGTGTGTGTCACTGTGTGTGTCTCACTGTGTCACTGTGTGTGTGTGTGTCACTGTGTGTGTCTCACTGTGTGTATGACTGTGTCACTGTCACTGTGTGTGTCACTGTGTGTGACTGTGTCTCACTGTGTGTGTGTCTCACTGTGTCACTGTGTGTGTGTAGGCAGCTGCGCGTCACCGCTGTGTGTGTGTCACTGTGTCACTGTGTGTGTCACTGTGTGTGTGTCACTGTGTCACTGTGTGTGTCACTGTGTGTGTGTCACTGTGTCACTGTGTGTGTGTGTGTCACTGTGTGTGTCTCACTGTATGTCTCACTGTGTGTGTGTAGGCAGCTGCGCGTCACCGCTGTGTGTGTGTCTGTGTCACTGTGTGTGTGTGACTGTGTGTGTCACTGTGTGTGTGTCACTGTGTGTGTCACTGTGTGTGTCACTGTGTGTGTGTCACTGTGTGTGTGTCACTGTGTGTGTCACTGTGTGTGTGTGACTGTGTGTGTCACTGTGTGTGTCACTGTGTGTGTGTGTCACTGTGTGTGTGTCACTGTGTGTGTCACTGTGTGTGTGTGACTGTGTGTGTCACTGTGTGTCACTGTGTGTGTGTCACTGTGTGTGTCACTGTGTGTGTCACTGTGTGTGTGTGTCACTGTGTGTGTGTCACTGTGTGTGTGTCACTGTGTGTGTGTCACTGTGTGTGTGTCACTGTGTGTGTCACTGTGTGTGTCACTGTGTGTGTGTGTGTCACTGTGTGTGTGTCACTTTGTGTGTCACTGTGTGTCACTGTGTGTGTCACTGTGTGTGTCACTGTGTGTATGTGTCACTGTGTGTGTGTCACTGTGTGTGTGTCACTGTGTGTGTGTGTCACTGTGTGTGTCACTGTGTGTCACTGTGTGTGTGTCACTGTGTGTGTGTCACTGTGTGTGTCACTGTGTGTGTGTCACTGTGTGTGTGACTGTGTGTGTCACTGTGTGTGTCTCTGTGTGTGTGTGTCACTGTGTGTGTGTCTGTGTGTGTGTCACTGTGTGTGTGTCACTGTGTGTGTGTCACTGTGTGTGTGTCACTGTGTGTGTGTCACTGTGTGTGTGTGTGTCACTGTGTATGTCTCTGTGTGTGTGTGTAGGCAGCTGCGCGTCACCGCTGTGTGTGTGTCTGTGTCACTGTGTGTGTGTCTGTGTCACTGTGTGTGTGTCTGTGTCACTGTGTGTGTGTGTCTCTGAGTGTGTAGGCAGCTGCGCGTCACCGCTGTGTGTGTCACTGTGTGTGTGTGTCACTGTGTCTGTGTGTGTGTCACTGTGTGTGTCTCACTGTGTGTGTGTCACTGTGTGTGTCTCACTGTGTGTGACTGTGTCTCACTGTGTGTATGACTGTGTGTGTCACTGTGTGTGTCACTGTGTGTGTGTATGACTGTGTCACTGTGTGTGTGTCTCACTGTGTGTGACTGTGTCTCACTGTGTCTCTGAGTGTGTAGGCAGCTGCGCGTCACCGCTGTGTGTGTGTGTGTGTCACTGTGTGTGTGTGTGTCACTGTGTGTGTGTGTGTCACTGTGTGTGTCACTGTGTGTGTCTCACTGTGTGTGTGTGTGTCACTGTGTGTGTGTGTGTCACTGTGTGTGTCTCACTGTGTGTGTGTGTGTCACTGTGTGTGTGTGTGTCACTGTGTGTGTCTCACTGTGTGTGTGTGTGTCACTGTGTGTGTCTCACTGTGTGTGTGTGTCTCACTGTGTGTCACTGTGTATGTCACTGTGTGTGTGTAGGCAGCTGCGCGTCACCGCTGTGTGTGTCACTGTGTGTGTGTCTCACTGTGTCACTGTGTGTGTGTGTGTCACTGTGTGTGTCTCACTGTGTGTATGACTGTGTCACTGTCACTGTGTGTGTGTCACTGTGTCACTGTGTGTGTCACTGTGTGTGTCTCACTGTGTCACTGTGTGTGTGTGTGTCACTGTGTGTGTCTCACTGTGTGTATGACTGTGTCACTGTCACTGTGTGTGTCACTGTGTGTGACTGTGTCTCACTGTGTGTGTGTCTCACTGTGTCACTGTGTGTGTGTAGGCAGCTGCGCGTCACCGCTGTGTGTGTGTCACTGTGTCACTGTGTGTGTCACTGTGTGTGTGTCACTGTGTCACTGTGTGTGTCACTGTGTGTGTGTCACTGTGTCACTGTGTGTGTGTGTGTCACTGTGTGTGTCTCACTGTATGTCTCACTGTGTGTGTGTAGGCAGCTGCGCGTCACCGCTGTGTGTGTGTCTGTGTCACTGTGTGTGTGTGACTGTGTGTGTCACTGTGTGTGTGTCACTGTGTGTGTCACTGTGTGTGTGTCACTGTGTGTGTGTCACTGTGTGTGTCACTGTGTGTGTGTGACTGTGTGTGTCACTGTGTGTGTCACTGTGTGTGTGTGTCACTGTGTGTGTGTCACTGTGTGTGTCACTGTGTGTGTGTGACTGTGTGTGTCACTGTGTGTCACTGTGTGTGTGTCACTGTGTGTGTGTGTCACTGTGTGTGTCACTGTGTGTGTCACTGTGTGTGTGTCACTGTGTGTGTGTCACTGTGTGTGTGTCACTGTGTGTGTGTCACTGTGTGTGTGTCACTGTGTGTGTCACTGTGTGTGTCACTGTGTGTGTGTGTGTCACTGTGTGTGTGTCACTTTGTGTGTCACTGTGTGTCACTGTGTGTGTCACTGTGTGTGTCACTGTGTGTATGTGTCACTGTGTGTGTGTCACTGTGTGTGTGTCACTGTGTGTGTGTCACTGTGTGTGTCACTGTGTGTCACTGTGTGTGTGTCACTGTGTGTGTCTCACTGTGTGTGTGTCACTGTGTGTGTGTCACTGTGTGTGTGTCACTGTGTGTGTCACTGTGTGTGTGTCACTGTGTGTGTGTCACTGTGTGTGTCACTGTGTGTGTCACTGTGTGTGTGTCACTGTGTGTGTCACTGTGTGTGTGTCACTGTGTGTGTGTCACTGTGTGTGTGTCACTGTGTGTGTCACTGTGTGTGTGTCACTGTGTGTGTGTCACTGTGTGTGTGTCACTGTGTGTATGTGTGTCACTGTGTGTGTGTCTCACTGTCTCACTGTGTGTATGACTGTGTGTCTCACTGTGTGTGTGTGTCACTGTGTGTGTGTCACTGTGTGTGTGTCACTGTGTGTGTGTCACTGTGTGTGTGTGTCACTGTGTGTATGACTGTGTCACTGTGAGTGTAGGCAGCTGCACGTCACCGCTGTGTGTGTCTCACTGTGTGTGTCACTGTGTGTGTGTCACTGTGTGTGTCACTGTGTGTGTGTGTGTGTCACTGTGTGTGTGTGTCACTGTGTGTATGACTGTGTCACTGTGAGTGTAGGCAGCTGCACGTCACCGCTGTGTGTGTCTCACTGTGTGTCTCACTGTGTGTCTCACTGTGTGTGTCACTGTGTGTGTGTCTCACTGTGTGTATGACTGTGTGTGTCACTGTGTGTATGTCTCACTGTGTGTGTGTGTAGGCAGCTGCACGTCACCGCTGTGTGTGTGTGTGTGTGTATGACTGTGTCACTGTGTGTCTCACTGTGTGTGTCACTGTGTGTCTCACTGTGTGTGTCACTGTGTGTCTCACTGTGTGTCTGTGTGTGTGTGTAGGCAGCTGCGCGTCACCGCTGTGTGTATTTGGTTCGTCTGCACTCTGAGGAGCTGCTGGCCGCAGTTCATGCACGTGGCACAACAACAACAACAACCACAACCACAACAACCACCACACAGCGTGGTGGTGGTGGTGGTGGCTGTGGTGGTGACTGTGGTTGTGGTGGTGGTGATGGCTGTGGTGGTGATTGTGGTGGTGGCTGTGGTGGTGGTGGTGATGACTGTGATGGCTGTGGTGGTGGCTGTGGTGGTTGTGATGGCTGTGGTGGTGGCTGTGGTGGTGATGGTTGTGATGGCTGTGGTGGTGGCTGTGGTGGTGGCTGTGGTGGTGGTTGTGGTGGTGATGGCTGTGGTGGTGGTGGCTCTGGTGGTGGCTGTGGTGGCTGTGGTGGTGGCTGTGGTAGTGGTGGTGGCTGTGGTAGTGGCTCTGGTGGTGGTTGTGGTAGTGGCTGTGGCTGTGGTGGCTCTGATTGTGGTGGTGGTGGTGGTTGTGGTGGTGGTGGTGGTTGTGGTGGTGGTGGTAGTGGCTCTGGTTGTGGTGGTGGTGGTGGTTGTGGTGGTGGTGGTGGTTGTGGTGGTGGTGGTGGTGGTAGTGGCTCTGGTTGTGGTGGTGGTGGTGGTTGTGGTGGTGGTGGTGGTTGTGGTGGTGGTGGTGGTTGTGGTGGTGGTGGTGGTTGTGGTGGTGGTGGTGGTGGTGGCTCTGGTGGTGGTTGTGGTTGTGGTGACTGTGGCTGTGGTGGTAGTGGCTGTGGTTGTGGTGGTGGTGGTGGTGGTTGTGGTAGTGGCTGTGGTGGTGGCTGTGGTGGTGGTGGTGGTGGTTGTGGTGGTGGTGGTTGTGGTGGTGGTGGTGGTGGTTGTGGTAGTGGCTGTGGTGGTGGCTGTGGTGGTGGTGGTGGTGGTTGTGGTGGTGGTTGTGGTGGTGGTGGTGGTGGTTGTGGTGGTGGTGGTTGTGGTGGTGGTGGTGGTGGTTGTGGTGGTGGTGTTGGTGGTGGTTGTGGTTGTGGTGGTGGTGGTTGTGGTGGTTGTGGTGGTGGTAGTGGTGGTGGTGGTAGTGATGGCTGTGGTAGTGGCTGTGGTGGTGGCTGTGGTGGTGGTTGTGGTGACTGTGGCTGTGGTGGTAGTGGCTCTGGTTGTGGTGGTGGTGGTGGTGGTTGTGGTGGTGGTGGTGGTTGTGGTGGTGTTGGTGAAGCACACTGGCTTAGAGGAGTTCACTGTGCGCCTCTGAAACTTCGCAAGCTGGGAGCCATCAACAAAATCCTGGCACACCGCCCCTGGCTGCTCACGGCCAGACACATACAGGTAGAGCAGCAATCAGCTACTCACTCAGCTACACACTCAGCTACTCACTCAGCTACTCACTCAGCTACCCACTCAGCTACACGCCCAGCTACACGCCCATCTACCCACTCAGCTACACACCCAGCTACCCACTCAGCTACTCACTCAGCTACTCACTCAGCTACACACTCAGCTACACGCCCAGCTACACAGCTACACACCCAGCTACTCAGCTATACACTCAGCTACACACTCAGCTACACACTCAGCTACTCAGCTACTCACTCAGCTACACACTCAGCTACACACCCAGCTACTCACTCAGCTACCCACTCAGCTACTCAGCTACTCACTCAGCTACACACTCAGCTACACACCCAGCTACTCACTCAGCTACCCACTCAGCTACACACCCAGCTACTCAGCTATACACTCAGCTACTCACTCAGCTACTCACTCAGCTACCCACTCAGCTACTCGCTCAGCTACCCACTCAGCTACTCAGCTATACACCCAGCTACACACCCAGCTACACACTCAGCTACACGCCCAGCTACACACTCAACTACTCAGCTACACACTCAGCTACACACCCAGCTACACACTCAGCTACCCACTCAGCTACTCGCTCAGCTACCCACTCAGCTACACACTCAGCTACACACCCAGCTACACACTCAGCTACCCACTCAGCTACTCGCTCAGCTACACACCCAGCTACACACTCAGCTACACACCCAGCTACACACTCAGCTACCCACTCAGCTACTCGCTCAGCTACCCACTCAGCTACTCAGCTATACACCCAGCTACACACTCAGCTACTCAGCTACACGCCCAGCTACACACTCAGCTACCCGCTCAGCTACTCAGCTATACACTCAGCTACACACCCAGCTACACGCTCAGCTACTCAGCTATACACTCGGCTATAAACTCAGCTACACGCTCAGCTACTCAGCTACACACTCAGCTACTCACTCAGCTACACACTCAGCTACTCGCTCAGCTACCCACTCAGCTACTCGCTCAGCTACCCACTCAGCTACTCAGCTATACACCCAGCTACACACTCAGCTACTCAGCTACACGCCCAGCTACACACTCAGCTACACACCCAGCTACTCAGCTATACACTCAGCTACACGCTCAGCTACCCACTCAGCTACTCGCTCAGCTACCCACTCAGCTACTCAGCTATACACCCAGCTACACACTCAGCTACACGCTCAGCTACACGCTCAGCTACACACTCAGCTACACGCTCAGCTACTCAGCTACACGCTCAGCTAGACACCCAGCTAGACACTCAACTACTCAGCTACACACCCAGCTACTCAGCTACTCAGCTATACACTCAGCTACAAGCTCAGCTATACACTCAGCTACACGCTCAGCTACCCACTCAGCTACTCGCTCAGCTACCCACTCAGCTACTCAGCTATACACCCAGCTACACACTCAGCTACACACTCAGCTACCCACTCAGCTACTCGCTCAGCTACCCACTCAGCTACTCAGCTACATGCCCAGCTACACACTCAGCTACCCGCTCAGCTACTCAGCTATACACTCAGCTACACACCCAGCTACACGCTCAGCTACTCAGCTATACACTCGGCTATAAACTCAGCTACACGCTCAGCTACTCAGCTACACACTCAGCTACTCACTCAGCTACACACTCAGCTACACGCCCAGCTACACACTCAACTACTCAGCTACACACTCAGCTACACACTCAGCTACTCGCTCAGCTACACGCTCAGCTACTCACCCAGCTACACACTCAACTACTCAGCTACACACTCAGCTACACACTCAGCTACTCACTCAGCTACACGCTCAGCTACACGCTCAACTACTCAGCTATACACTCAGCTACACGCCCAGCTACACGCTCAGCTACACACTCGGCTACACACCCAGCTACTCACACAGCTACACGCTCAGCTACTCACCCAGCTACACACTCAACTACTCAGCTAAACACTCAGCTACACGCCCAGCTACTCACTCAGCTACACGCTCAGCTACACGCTCAACTACTCAGCTATACACTCAGCTACACGCCCAGCTACACGCTCAGCTACACACTCGGCTACACACTCAGCTACACACCCAGCTACACACTCAGCTACACACTCAGCTACACACCCAGCTACACACTCAGCTACACGCTCAGCTACACACTCAGCTACACACTCAGCTACTCAGCTACACACCCAGCTACACACCCAGCTACACACTCAGCTACACGCTCAGCTACACGCTCAGCTACACGCTCAGCTACACGCTCAGCTACACGCTCAACTACTCACTCAGCTACCCGCTCAGCTACACACACAGCTATAAGCTCAGCTACACACTCAGCTACCCGCTCAGCTACACGCTCAGCTACACACTCAGCTACACACCCAGCTACACACTCAGCTACACACTCAGCTACCCGCTCAGCTACACGCTCAGCTACACACCCAGCTATAAACTCAGCTACACACTCAGCTACTCGCTCAGCTACACACTCAGCTACTCAGCTATACACCCAGCTATAAACTCAGCTATAAACTCAGATACACACCCAGCTATAAACTCAGCTACACGCTCAGCTACCCGCTCAGCTACACACTCAGCTACACACTCAGCTACACGCTCAGCTACACACTCAGCTACACACTCAACTACTCGCTCAGCTACACACCCAGCTATAAACTCAGCTACACACTCAGCTACCCGCTCAGCTACACGCTCAGCTACACACCCAGCTATAAACTCAGCTACACACTCAGCTACCCGCTCAGCTACTCAGCTATACACTCACCTACACACCCAGCTACACACTCAGCTACACGCTCAGCTACTCGCGCAGCTACACACACAGCTACTCAGCTTCAAACTCAGCTACTCAGCTACACACACAGCTACTCAGCTACTCACTCAGCTACACGCTCAGCTATACACCCAGCTACACACTCAGCTACTCACTCAGCTACACGCTCAGCTACACGCTCAGCTACACACCCAGCTATAAACTCAGCTACACACTCAGCTACCCGCTCAGCTACACGCTCAGCTACACACCCAGCTATAAACTCAGCTACACACTCAGCTACACACTCAGCTACACGCTCAGCTACACACCCAGCTATAAACTCAGCTACACACTCAGCTACACACTCAGCTACACACTCAGCTACCCGCTCAGCTACTCAGCTATACACTCACCTACACACCCAGCTACACACTCAGCTACACGCTCAGCTACTCGCGCAGCTACACACACAGCTACTCAGCTTCAAACTCAGCTACTCAGCTACACACACAGCTACTCAGCTACTCACTCAGCTACACGCTCAGCTATACACCCAGCTACACACTCAGCTACTCACTCAGCTACACGCTCAGCTACACGCTCAGCTACACACCCAGCTATAAACTCAGCTACACACTCAGCTACCCGCTCAGCTACACGCTCAGCTACACACCCAGCTATAAACTCAGCTACACACTCAGCTACACACTCAGCTACCCGCTCAGCTACTCCGCTATACACTCACCTACACACCCAGCTACACACTCAGCTACACACTCAGCTACTCGCTCAGCTACACGCTCAGCTACTCACCCAGCTACACACTCAACTACTCAGCTATACACTCAGCTACACACTCAGCTACACACTCAGCTACACACTCAGCTACACGCACAGCTAAACACTCAGCTACACACTCAGCTACACACTCAGCTACACACTCAGCTACACACTCAGCTACACGCCCAGCTACCCACTCAGCTAGACACCCAGTTACTCACTCAGCTACACACCCAGCCACACACTCAGCTACACACTCAGCTACACGCTCAGCTACACGCTCAGCTACACACTCAGCTACTCACTCAGCTACACACTCAGCTACCCGCTCAGCTACTCACTCAGCTACACGCTCAGCTACACGCTCAGCTACACGCTCAGCTACACACACACAGCTACACACTCAGCTACACACTCAGCTACACACCCAGCTACTCACACAGCTACACACCCAGCTATACACTCAGCTACACACCCAGCCACACACTCAGCTACTCACTCAGCTACACACCCAGCTACACGCTCAGCTACACACCCAGCTACACACACAGCTACTCAGCTATACACTCAGCTACTCGGCTACACACCCAGCTACAAACTCAGCTACTCAGCTACACACACAGCTACTCAGCTACACGCCCAGCTACACACTCAGCTACCTGCTCAGCTACACACTCAGCTACTCGTGCAGCTACACACTCAACTACTCAGCTATACACTCAGCTACTCAGCTAGCTACACACTCAACTACTCAGCTATACACTCAGCTATAAACTCAGCTACACACTCAGCTAAACACTCAGCTACCCGCTCAGCTACACGCCCAGCTACACACTCAGCTACACACTCAGCTACACACTCACTCAGCTACATGCTCAGCTACTCACTCAGCTACTCGCTCAGCTACACGCTCAGCTACTCACCCAGCTACACACTCAACTACTCAGCTATACACTCAGCTACACACTCAGCTACACACTCAGCTACACACTCAGCTACACACTCAGCTACACACACAGCTAAACACACAGCTAAACACTCAGCTACACACTCAGCTACACACTCAGCTACACACTCAGCTACACACTCAGCTACACGCCCAGCTACACACTCAACTACTCAGCTATACACTCAGCTACACACTCAGCTACACACTCAGCTACTCGCTCAGCTACACGCTCAGCTACTCACCCAGCTACACACTCAACTACTCAGCTATACACTCAGCTACACACTCAGCTACACACTCAGCTACACACTCAGCTACACACACAGCTAAACACACAGCTAAACACTCAGCTACACACTCAGCTACACACTCAGCTACACACTCAGCTACACGCCCAGCTACCCACTCAGCTAGACACCCAGTTACTCACTCAGCTACACACCCAGCCACACACTCAGCTACACACTCAGCTACACGCTCAGCTACCCGCTCAGCTACACACCCAGCTACACACCCAGCTACACACTCAGCTACACACCCAGCTACACACCCAGCTACCTGCTCAGCTACCCGCCCAGCTACACACCCAGCTACACACCCAGCTACACACCCAGCTACACACCCAGCTACACACTCAGCTACACACCCAGCTACTCACTCAGCTACTCACTCAGCTACACACTCAGCTACACACTCAGCTACACACCCAGCTACACACCCAGCTACTCACACAGCTACACACCCAGCTATACACTCAGCTACACACCCAGCTACACACTCAGCTACACACCCAGCTATACACTCAGCTACACACCCAGCTACACGCTCAGCTACCTGCTCAGCTACACACTCATTGTGATTAATGTTTCAGTTGATGCAGTTAATCCACTAGTTATCCTGGCAACCTGCTAGTTAACCTGCTAGTTATCCTGGCTACCTGCTAGTTAACTTGGTTACCTGCTAGTTAACCTGCGAGTTAACCCGGCTACCTGCTAGTTAACCTGGCTACCTGCTAGTTAACCTGCTAGTTAACCTGGTTACCTGCTAGTTAACCTGCTAGTTCACCTGGCTTCCTGCTAGTTAATTTGCTAGTTAACCTGGTTACCTGCTAGTTAACCTGGCTACCTGCTAGTTAACCTGGTTACCTCCTAGTTAACCTGGTTACCTGCTAGTTAACCTGGTTACCTTCTAGTTAACCTGCTAGTTAACATGGTTACCTGCTAGTTATCCTGCTAGTTAACCTGCTAGTTAACCTGGCTACCTGCTAGTTAACCTGCTAGTTAATCTGCTAGTTAAGCTTCTAGTTAACCTGGCTACCTGCTAGTTAGCCTGGTTACCTGCTAGTTAACCTGCTAGTTAACCTGGTTACCTGCTAGTTAACCTGGTTACCTGTTAGTTAACCTGCTAGTTAACCTGCTAGTTAACATGGCTACCTGCTAGTTAACCTACTAGTTAACCTGCTAGTTAACCTGCTAGTTAACATGGCTACCTGCTAGTTAACCTGCTAGTTAACCTGCTAGTTAACCTGCTAGTTAACCTGGCTACCTGCTAGTTAACCTGCTAGTTACCCTGCTAGTTAACCTGCTAGTTAACCTGCTAGTTAACCTGCTAGTTAACCTGCTAGTTAAACTGCTAGTTAACCTGGCTACCTGCTAGTTAACCTGCTAGTTAACCTGCTAGTTAAACTGCTAGTTAACCTGCTAGTTAACCTGGCTACCTGCTAGTTAACCTGCTAGTTAACCTGCTAGTTAACCTGGTTACCTGCTAGTTAACCTGCTAGTTAACCTGCTAGTTAACCTGGTTACCTCTCGCCCCAGCGGCTGTTGCTTCCCGGTGAGGACTGCTGGTCCCTTGCCGAGTTGGTTCACGCCGTGGTCATCATGAGCCACGTCCACTCCTAGTTAACCTGCTAGTTAACCTGCTAGTTAACCTGCTAGTTAACCTGCTAGTTAACCTGCTAGTTAACCTGGTTATCTCTCGCCTAGTTAACCTGCTAGTTAACCTGCTAGTTAACCTGGTTACCTGCTAGTTAACCTGCTAGTTAACCTGCTAGTTAACCTGCTAGTTAACCTGCTAGTTGACCTGCTAGTTAACCTGCTAGTTAACCTGGTTATCTCTTGCCTAGTTAACCTGCTAGTTAACCTGCTAGTTAACCTGCTAGTTAACCTGCTAGTTAACCTGGTTACCTGCTAGTTAACCTGCTAGTTAACCTGCTAGTTAACCTGCTAGTTGACCTGCTAGTTAACCTGCTAGTTAACCTGGTTATCTCTCGCCTAGTTAACCTGCTAGTTAACCTGCTAGTTAACCTGCTAGTTAACCTGCTAGTTAACCTGCTAGTTAACCTGCTAGTTAACCTGGTTACCTGCTAGTTAACCTGCTAGTTAGCCTGCTAGTTAACCTGCTAGTTAACCTGGCTACCCGCTAGTTAACCTGCTAGTTAGCCTGCTAGTTAACCTGCTAGTTAACCTGCTAGTTAACCTGCTAGTTAACCTGGCTACCTGCTAGTTAACCTGCTAGTTAACCTGGTTACCTGCTAGTTAACCTGCTAGTTAACCTGGCTACCTGCTAGTTAACCTGCTAGTTAACCTGGCTACCTGCTAGTTAACCTGCTAGTTAACCTGGCTACCTGCTAGTTAACCTGCTAGTTAACCTGCTAGTTAACCTGCTAGTTAACCTGGCTACCTGCTAGTTAACCTGCTAGTTAACCTGCTAGTTAACCTGCTAGTTAACCTGCTAGTTAACCTGCTAGTTAACCTGGTTACCTCTCGCCCCAGCGGCTGTTGCTTCCCGGTGAGGACTGCTGGTCCCTTGCCGAGTTGGTTCACGCCGTGGTCATCATGAGCCACGTCCACTCCTAGTTAACCTGCTAGTTAACCTGCTAGTTAACCTGCTAGTTAACCTGCTAGTTAACCTGCTAGTTAACCTGCTAGTTAACCTGCTAGTTAACCTGCTAGTTAACCTGCTAGTTAACCTGCTAGTTAACCTGGTTATCTCTCGCCCCAGCGGCTGTTGCTTCCCGGCGAGGACTGCTGGTCCCTTGCCGAGTTGGTTCACGCCGTGGTCATCATGAGCCACGTCCACTCCTAGTTAACCTGCTAGTTAACCTGCTAGTTAACCTGCTAGTTAACCTGCTAGTTAACCTGCTAGTTAACCTGGTTACCTCTCGCCCCAGCGGCTGTTGCTTCCCGGTGAGGACTGCTGGTCCCTTGCCGAGTTGGTTCACGCCGTGGTCATCATGAGCCACGTCCACTCCTTGTTAACCTGCTAGTTAACCTGCTAGTTAACCTGCTAGTTAACCTGCTAGTTAACCTGCTAGTTAACCTGCTAGTTAACCTGCTAGTTAACCTGCTAGTTAACCTGGTTACCTCTCGCCCCAGCGGCTGTTGCTTCCCGGCGAAGACTGCTGGTCCCTTGCCGAGTTGGTTCACGCCGTGGTCATCATGAGCCACGTCCCACTCCTTGTTAACCTGCTAGTTAACCTGCTAGTTAACCTGCTAGTTAACCTGCTAGTTAACCTGCTAGTTAACCTGCTAGTTAACCTGCTAGTTAACCTGCTAGTTAACCTGCTAGTTAACCTGGTTATCTCTCGCCCCAGCGGCTGTTGCTTCCCGGCGAAGACTGCTGGTCCCTTGCCGAGTTGGTTCACGCCGTGGTCATCATGAGCCACGTCCACTCCTTGTTAACCTGCTAGTTAACCTGCTAGTTAACCTGCTAGTTAACCTGCTAGTTAACCTGCTAGTTAACCTGGTTACCTGCTAGTTAACCTGCTAGTTAACCTGCTAGTTAACCTGCTAGTTAACCTGGTTACCTCTCGCCCCAGCGGCTGTTGCTTCCCGGTGAGGACTGCTGGTCCCTTGCCGAGTTGGTTCACGCCGTGGTCATCATGAGCCACGTCCACTCCTTGTTAACCTGCTAGTTAACCTGCTAGTTAACCTGCTAGTTAACCTGCTAGTTAACCTGGCTACCTGCTAGTTAACCTGCTAGTTAACCTGCTAGTTAACCTGCTAGTTAACCTGCTAGTTAACCTGCTAGTTAACCTGCTAGTTAACCTGCTAGTTAACCTGGTTACCTCTCGCCCCAGCGGCTGCTGCTTCCCGGTGAGGACTGCTGGTCCCTTGCCGAGTTGGTTCACGCCGTGGTCATCATGAGCCACGTCCACTCCTTGTTAACCTGCTAGTTAACCTGCTAGTTAACCTGCTAGTTAACCTGCTAGTTAACCTGCTAGTTAACCTGCTAGTTAACCTGCTAGTTAACCTGGTTATCTCTCGCCCCAGCGGCTGTTGCTTCCCGGTGAGGACTGCTGGTCCCTTGCCGAGTTGGTTCACGCCGTGGTCATCATGAGCCACGTCCACTCCTAGTTAACCTGCTAGTTGACCTGCTAGTTAACCTGCTAGTTAACCTGCTAGTTAACCTGCTAGTTAACCTGCTAGTTAACCTGCTAGTTAACCTGGTTACCTCTCGCCCCAGCGGCTGTTGCTTCCCGGCGAGGACTGCTGGTCCCTTGCCGAGTTGGTTCACGCCGTGGTCATCATGAGCCACGTCCACTCCTAGTTAACCTGCTAGTTAACCTGCTAGTTAACCTGCTAGTTAACCTGCTAGTTAACCTGCTAGTTAACCTGCTAGTTAACCTGCTAGTTAACCTGCTAGTTAACCTGCTAGTTAACCTGGTTACCTCTCGCCCCAGCGGCTGCTGCTTCCCGGCGAGGACTGCTGGTCCCTTGCCGAGTTGGTTCACGCCGTGGTCATCATGAGCCACGTCCACTCCTTGTTAACCTGCTAGTTAACCTGCTAGTTAACCTGCTAGTTAACCTGCTAGTTAACCTGCTAGTTAACCTGCTAGTTAACCTGCTAGTTAACCTGCTAGTTAACCTGGTTATCTTCCCAGCGGCTGTTGCTTCCCGGTGAGGACTGCTGGTCCCTTGCCGAGTTGGTTCACGCCGTGGTCATCATGAGCCACGTCCACTCCTTGGCGTCCTTCGTCTGGGCCAGCGGTGTGAGCCCCGAGCCGGACCACCGCCCCCGGCAGGAGCCGCTGCACGGCGCCACCGGCGCCACCGGCGGCACCGGCGGCAGCACCGGCGCCGGTGGCGGACGGTCGCCGGTGGCGATGGGCGACACCGGCGATGGCTCGGTGACGGTGGAGAACCAGGTGAGGGTGGTGGTGGTGAGTGGTGGTGGTGGTGGTGGTGAGTGGTGGTGGTGAGGGTGGTGGTGGTGGTGGTGGTGGTGAGGGTGGTGGTGGTGATGGTGGTGGTGGTGGTGAGGGTGGTGGTGAGCGTGGTGGTGGTGAGGGTGGTGGTGGTGGTGATGGTAATGGTGGTGCTGGTGGTGGACTGTGTGATGTTGGTGGACTCTCTGTGTGCTGTGCTTCCAGGTGGACGTGGTGAGCTCGCTGATGGAGCGTATGCGACATCTTCATGGTGGTGGTGGTGGTGAGGAGCATCAGCAGGCTGGTGGGGTGGTGAGCGTGGGTGGTGGTGGTGGGGGTGGTGGGGTGTGCGTGGGTGGTGGTGGTGGTGGTGGGGTGGTGAGCGTGGAGGAGTTGGCCACGAGGTTCGAGAAGCAGAAAACCAGAATCAAGACGCTTTCCGATGGTGAGTGGGTGGGTGGGTGTGTGAGTGGGTGGGTGAGTGGGTGAGTGGGTGGGTGAGTGGGTGAGTGGGTGGGTGGGTGGGTGAGTGAGTGAGTGGGTGGGTGGGTGGGTGAGTGGGTGGGTGGGTTGAGTGGGTGGGTGAGTGAGTGGGTGAGTGGGTGAGTGGGTGAGTGGGTGGGTGAGTGGGTGGGTGGGTGAGTGAGTGGGTGGGTGAGTGAGTGGGTGGGTGAGTGGGTGGGTGGGTGGGTGAGTGAGTGGGTGAGTGAGTGGGTGGGTGAGTGAGTGGGTGGGTGAGTGGGTGGGTGGGTGGGTGAGTGAGTGGGTGGGTGGGTGGGTGAGTGGGTGGGTGAGTGGGTGGGTGGGTGGGTGAGTGGGTGGGTGGGTGGGTGAGTGGGTGGGTGAGTGGGTGGGTGGGTGGGTGAGTGGGTGGGTGAGTGGGTGGGTGGGTGGGTGAGTGGGTGGGTGGGTGAGTGGGTGGGTGGGTGAGTGGGTGGGTGGGTGAGTGGGTGGGTGGGTGAGTGGGTGGGTGAGTGGGTGGGTGAGTGGGTGGGTGAGTGGGTGAGTGGGTGGGTGGGTGGGTGAGTGGGTGGGTGGGTGGGTGAGTGGGTGGGTGGGTGGGTGAGTGGGTGGGTGGGTGGGTGAGTGAGTGGGTGAGTGGGTGGGTGGGTGGGTGAGTGAGTGGGTGGGTGGGTGAGTGGGTGGGTGGGTGGGTGGGTGGGTGAGTGGGTGGGTGGGTGAGTGGGTGGGTGGGTTGAGTGGGTGGGTTGAGTGGGTGGGTTGAGTGGGTGGGTGAGTGAGTGGGTGAGTGGGTGGGTGAGTGAGTGGGTGAGTGGGTGGGTGAGTGAGTGGGTGAGTGAGTGGGTGAGTGAGTGGGTGGGTTGAGTGGGTGGGTTGAGTGGGTGGGTTGAGTGGGTGGGTTGAGTGGGTGGGTGAGTGAGTGGGTGAGTGAGTGGGTGGGTTGAGTGGGTGTGTGAGTGAGTGGGTGAGTGGGTGAGTGAGTGAGTGGGTGAGCGTGTGGGTGAGTGAGTGAGCATGTGGGTGAGCGTGTGTGTGTGCGTGTGGGTGAGCGTGTTGGTGAGCGTGTATGTGTGTGTGTGTGTAAACGTGTGTGTGTGTGGGTGATTGAGTGTGTATGTGTGTGTGTGTGAGTTAGTGTGTGTATGTGTGTGTAGCTGTGTGTGTGTGTGATTGTGGGGAGCGATAGTGTAGCGGTTAGCGCTACGCTGCGCTATGAACCTGGCGACCCGGGTTCGATTCCCGCTCACGGCCAACACCAGTGACGATTATCTGAACCGGTCCCGGGCCTCCCCTAGGTCGACTCAGCCTCAAATGAGTACCTGGTGCAGTGTGTAAACATCGCCACTAGGGAGACAAAGGCGGTCGGGCGTGGTGCTGGCCACCCACCCCCTCGTGTACCGTTCCGGCCTTCATAGGTGCTCGCTAACAGCACTTGCCCCAACAGTCTGTCAAGGCTATACGGGGGATCTTTGTCTTTGTCTTTTTGTTGGTGAGTGTGTGTTGGTGAGTGTGATTGAGTGTGTATGTGTGTGTATGTGTGAGTGTGTGTGATTGTGTGTGATTGAGTGTGTGTATGTGTGTCTGTGTGTGTGTGTGAGTGTGTGTGTGTACGTGTGTGTGTGTGATTGAGTGTGTGTGTGTATGTGTGTGTATATGTGTGTGATTGTGTATGTGTGAGTGTATGTGTGTGATTGTGTATATGTGTGTGTGTGATTGAGTGTGTATGTGTTGGTGAGTGTGATTGAGTGTGTATGTGTGTGTGTATGTGTGTGTACGTGTGATTGTGTGTGTATGTGTGAGTGTACGTGTGATTGTGTGTATATGTGTGTGTATGTGTGTATGTGTGTGTCTGTGTGTGTACGTGTGTGTGTATGTCTGTGTGTGTACGTGTGTGTGTACGTGTGTGTGTGATTGAGTGTGTATGTATGTGTGTGTACGTGTGTGTGTGTGTACGTGTGTGTATGTGGTGTGTGATTGTGTATGTGTGTGATTGAGTGTGTATGTATGTGTGTGATTGAGTGTGTGTATGTATGTGTGTGATTGAGTGTGTGTATGTGTGTGTGTGATTGAGTGTGTGTGTGTGATTGAGTGTGAGTGTGTGTGTGATTGTGTGTGTGTATGTGTGTGATTGTGTATGTGTGTACGTGTGAACGTGTGGGTATGTATGTGTGTGTGTATGTGTGTGTGTATGTGTGTGATTGAGTGTGTATGTATGTGTGTGTGTGTGATTGTATGTGTGTGTGTATGTGGTGTGTGATTGAGTGTGTACGTGTGTGTGTGATTGAGTGTGTATGTATGTATGTGTGTGTGATTGTATGTGTGTATGTATGTGGTGTGTGATTGAGTGTGTACGTGTGTGTGTGATTGAGTGTGTATGTATGTGTGTGTGTACGTGTGTGTATGTGTGTGTGATTGAGTATGTATGTGTGTCTGTACGTGTGTGTGTGTGTGTATGAGTGTGTACGTGTGTGTGTGTGTGATTGTGTGATTGAGTGTGTATGTGTGTGTGTGTGATTGAGTGTGAGTGTGTGTGTGATTGTCTGTGTGTGTGTATGTGGTGTGTGTGTGTGATTGTGTGTCTGTCTGTGTGTGTGTATGTGTGTGTGTATGTGAGTGTGTGTGTATGTGAGTGTGTGTGTACGTGTGTGTGTGTGTGATTGTGTCTGTCTGTGTATGTGTATGTGTGTGATTGTGTCTGTGTGTGTCTGTGTGTGTGTGTGTGATTGTGTCTGTCTGTGTGTGTGTGTGTGTGATTGAGTGTATGTGTGTGATTGTGTATGTGTGTGATTGAGTGTATGTGTGGTGTGTGATTGTGTCTGTGTGTGTGTGATTGTGTCTGTCTGTGTGTGTGTGTACGTGTGTGTGTGTACGTGTGTATGTGTGTGATTGTGTCTGTGTGATTGTGTATGTGTGTGATTGTGTGTGAGTGTGTGTATGTGGTGTGTGATTGTGTGTGTGTGTATGTGTGTGTGTGTGTCTGTGTGTGTGTGTGTGTGTCTGTCTGTGTGTGTGTATGTATGTGTATGTGTGGTGTGTGTGTGTATGTGTGTGATTGTGTGTGTATATGTGTGTATGTGTGGTGTGTGATTGTGTGATTGTGTCTGTGTGTGTCTGTGTGTGTGTGTGTGATTGTGTCTGTCTGTGTGTGTGTGTGTGTGATTGAGTGTATGTGTGGTGTGTGTGTGTATGTGTGTGATTGTGTGTGTATGTGTGGTGTGTGATTGTGTGATTGTGTCTGTGTGTGTCTGTGTGTGTGTGTATGTGTGTGATTGTGTGTGTCTGTCTGTGTGTGTCTGTGTGTGTGTCTGTGTGTGATTGTGTGTGATTGTGTCTGTGTGTGTGATTGTGTGTGTGTGTGATTGTGTGTGTGTGTGATTGTGTGTGTATGTGTGTGTGTGTCTGTGTGTGATTGTGTCTGTGTGTGATTGTCTCCCCCCGTGTGCCACAGCTGCCTTCTCTCTCCTGACCGACGACCTGTCATTCACCTACAAGGACTTTGAGGGTGGTGAGGATTGGTGCGGTGAGGAAGGAGCCTCACCACCACCCTCACCACCACCCTCACCACCACCCTCACCACCCTCACCACCCTCCTCCTCCTCCTCCTCACCACCGCCTCACCGTCACCGCCTCCGTCACACGCGGTTCCCGCCGACTTTCCGGGCGCAGGTACTCACTCAGTCACTCAGTCAGTCACTCAGTCAGTCACTCAGTCAGTCAGTCAGTTAGTTAGTCAGTTAGTTAGTTAGTTAGTCAGTCAGTCAGTCACTCAGTCAGTCACTCAGTCAGTCACTCAGTCAGTCACTTAGTCAGTCACTCAGTCACTCACTCAGTCACTCAGTCAGTCAGTTAGTCACTCAGTCAGTCACTCAGTCAGTCACTCAGTCAGTCACTCAGTCACTCACTCAGTCACTCAGTCAGTCACTCAGTCAGTCAGTCACTCAGTCACTCAGTCAGTCACTCAGTCAGTCACTCAGTCAGTCAGTCAGTCACTCAGTCAGTCAGTCACTCAGTCAGTCAGTCAGTCACTCAGTCAGTCAGTCACTCAGTCACTCACTCAGTCACTCAGTCAGTCACTCAGTCAGTCACTCAGTCACTCACTCAGTCACTCAGTCAGTCACTCAGTCAGTCACTCAGTCACTCAGTCACTCAGTCACTCACTCAGTCAGTCAGTCACTTAGTCAGTCAGTCAGTCAGTCACTCAGTCAGTCAGTCACTCAGTCACTCACTCAGTCACTCAGTCAGTCACTCAGTCAGTCAGTCAGTTAGTTAGTCAGTTAGTTAGTTAGTCAGTCAGTCAGTCAGTCACTCAGTCAGTCACTCAGTCAGTCACTCAGTCAGTCACTTAGTCAGTCACTCAGTCACTCACTCAGTCACTCAGTCAGTCAGTTAGTCACTCAGTCAGTCACTCAGTCAGTCACTCAGTCACTCACTCAGTCACTTACTCAGTCACTCAGTCAGTCACTCAGTCAGTCAGTCACTCAGTCACTCAGTCAGTCACTCACTCAGTCACTCAGTCAGTCACTCAGTCACTCAGTCAGTCACTCAGTCAGTCACTCACTCAGTCACTCAGTCAGTCACTCACTCAGTCACTCAGTCAGTCAGTCAGTCAGTCACTTAGTCAGTCAGTCACTCAGTCAGTTAGTCAGTCACTCAGTCACTCAGTCAGTCAGTCAGTCAGTCAGTCACTCAGTCAGTCACTCACTCAGTCACTCACTCAGTCAGTCACTCACTCAGTCACTCACTCAGTCACTCACTCAGTCAGTCACTCAGTCAGTCAGTCAGTCAGTCACTCAGTCAGTCAGTTAGTCAGTTAGTTAGTCAGTCAGTCACTCAGTCACTCAGTCAGTCAGTCACTCAGTCAGTCAGTTAGTCAGTTAGTTAGTCAGTCAGTTAGTCACTCAGTCAGTCACTCAGTTAGTTAGTTAGTCAGTGAGTCAGTCAGTCAGTCACTCAGTCAGTCAGTGAGTCAGTCAGTCACTTAGTCAGTCAGTCACTCAGTCAGTCAGTCAGTCAGTCACTCAGTCAGTCAGTCAGTCACTCAGTCAGTCACTCAGTCAGTCACTCAGTCAGTCAGTCACTCAGTCAGTCACTCAGTCAGTCACTCAGTCAGTCAGTCACTCAGTCAGTCACTCAGTCAGTCACTCAGTCAGTCACTCAGTCACTTAGTCACTTAGTCACTCAGTCACTCAGTCAGTCACTCAGTCAGTCACTCAGTCAGTCACTCAGTCAGTCAGTCACTTAGTCAGTCAGTCACTCAGTCAGTCACTCAGTCAGTCAGTCACTTAGTCAGTCAGTCAGTCACTCAGTCAGTCAGTCACTTAGTCAGTCAGTCACTCAGTCAGTCAGTCAGTCACTCAGTCAGTCAGTCAGTCACTCAGTCAGTCAGTCACTCAGTCAGTCACTCAGTCAGTCAGTCAGTCACTCAGTCAGTCAGTCAGTCAGTCAGTCACTCAGTCACTCAGTCAGTCACTCAGTCAGTCAGTCACTCAGTCAGTCAGTCAGTCACTCAGTCAGTCAGTTAGTTAGTCAGTGAGTCAGTCACTCAGTCACTCACTCAGTCACTCAGTCAGTCAGTCAGTCACTCATTCAGTCACTCAGTCAGTCAGTCACTTAGTCAGTCAGTCAGTCACTCAGTTAGTTAGTTAGTCAGTCAGTCACTCAGTCAGTCAGTTAGTTAGTCAGTGAGTCAGTCACTCAGTCACTCACTCAGTCACTCAGTCAGTCAGTCACTCAGTCAGTCAGTCACTCAGTCAGTCACTCAGTCACTCAGTCAGTCACTCAGTCAGTCAGTCAGTCAGTCAGTCAGTCACTCAGTCAGTCACTCAGTCAGTCAGTCACTTAGTCAGTCAGTCAGTCACTCAGTTAGTTAGTTAGTCAGTCAGTCACTCAGTCAGTCAGTTAGTTAGTCAGTGAGTCAGTCACTCAGTCACTCACTCAGTCACTCAGTCAGTCACTCAGTCAGTCACTCAGTCAGTCACTCAGTCAGTCAGTCACTCAGTCACTCAGTCAGTCACTCACTCAGTCACTCAGTCAGTCACTCAGTCACTCAGTCAGTCACTCAGTCAGTCAGTCACTCAGTCAGTCACTCAGTCACTCACTCAGTCACTCAGTCAGTCACTCAGTCAGTCACTCAGTCAGTCACTCAGTCAGTCAGTCAGTCAGTCACTCAGTCAGTCACTCAGTCAGTCACTCAGTCAGTCAGTCAGTCACTCAGTCAGTCACTCAGTCAGTCAGTCAGTCAGTCAGTCAGTCACTCAGTCACTCAGTCACTCAGTCAGTCAGTCAGTCAGTCAGTCACTCAGTCAGTCAGTTAGTTAGTCAGTGAGTCAGTCACTCAGTCACTCACTCAGTCACTCAGTCAGTCAGTCACTCATTCAGTCACTCAGTCAGTCAGTCACTTAGTCAGTCAGTCAGTCACTCAGTTAGTTAGTTAGTCAGTCAGTCACTCAGTCAGTCAGTTAGTTAGTCAGTGAGTCAGTCACTCAGTCACTCACTCAGTCACTCAGTCAGTCAGTCAGTCACTCAGTCAGTCACTCAGTCAGTCACTCAGTCACTCAGTCAGTCACTCAGTCAGTCACTCAGTCAGTCAGTCAGTCACTCAGTCAGTCACTCAGTCAGTCAGTCACTTAGTCAGTCAGTCAGTCACTCAGTTAGTTAGTTAGTCAGTCAGTCAGTCACTCAGTCAGTCAGTTAGTTAGTCAGTGAGTCAGTCACTCAGTCACTCACTCAGTCACTCAGTCACTCACTCAGTCACTCACTCAGTCAGTTAGTCACTCACTCACTCAGTCAGTCACTCAGTCACTCAGTCAGTCACTCACTCAGTCAGTCACTCAGTCACTCAGTCAGTCAGTTAGTTAGTCAGTTAGTTAGTTAGTCAGTCAGTCACTCAGTTAGTTAGTCAGTCAGTCACTCAGTCAGTCAGTTAGTTAGTCAGTGAGTCAGTCACTCAGTCACTCACTCAGTCACTCAGTCAGTCAGTCAGTCAGTTAGTCACTCAGTCAGTCAGTCACTCAGTCAGTCAGTTAGTCACTTAGTCAGTCAGTTAGTCAGTCAGTCACTCAGTCAGTTAGTCAGTCACTCAGTCACGCAGTTAGTGAGTCACTCAGTCAGTCACTCCGTCAGTCAGTCAGTCACTCAGTCAGTCACTCACTCAGTCACTCAGTCAGTCACTCAGTCACTCAGTCAGTCACTCAGTCAGTCACTCAGTCAGTCAGTCACTCAGTCAGTCACTCAGTCAGTCAGTCACTCACTCAGTCACTCAGTCAGTCAGTCAGTCACTTAGTCAGTCAGTCACTCAGTCAGTCAGTCACTTAGTCAGTCAGTCACTCAGTCAGTCAGTTAGTTAGTCAGTGAGTCAGTCACTCAGTCACTCATTCAGTCAGTCAGTCACTCAGTCAGTCAGTCAGTTAGTCACTCACTCAGTCAGTCACTCAGTCAGTCAGTTAGTCACTTAGTCAGTCAGTTAGTCAGTCAGTCACTCAGTCAGTTAGTCAGTCACTCAGTCACTCAGTTAGTGAGTCACTCAGTCAGTCACTCAGTCAGTCAGTCAGTTAGTTAGTCAGTAAGTCAGTCAGTCAGTTAGTTAGTGAGTCAGTCAGTTAGTGAGTCAGTCAGTCAGTCAGTGAGTCAGTCAGTCAGTCACTCAGTCAGTCAGTTAGTGAGTCAGTCAGTCACTCAGTCAGTCAGTCAGTCAATCAGTCACTCAGTCAGTCAATCAGTCAGTCACTTAGTCAGTCACTTAGTCACTCAGTCAGTCACTCAGTCAGTCAGTCACTCAGTCAGTCACTCAGTCAGTCACTCAGTCAGTCAGTCAGTCACTCAGTCAGTCAGTCAGTCACTCAGTCAGTCAGTCACTCAGTCAGTCACTCAGTCAGTCACTTAGTCAGTCACTCAGTCAGTCACTTAGTCAGTCAGTCACTTAGTCAGTCACTCAGTCAGTCAGTTAGTCAGTCAGTCAGTCACTCAGTCAATCAGTCAGTCAGTCAGTCACTCAGTCAGTCACTTAGTCAGTCACTTAGTTAGTCAGTCACTCAGTCAGTCAGTCACTCAGTCAGTCACTCAGTCAGTCAGTCAGTCAGTCACTCAGTCACTCAGTTAGTCAGTCAGTTAGTCAGTCAGTCACTCAGTCAGTCAGTCACTCAGTCAGTCAGTAACTCAGTCAGTCACTCAGTCAGGCAGTCACTCAGTCAAGTCAGGCACTCTGTCAGTCAGTCAATCAGTCACTCAGTCAGTCAGTCACTCAGTCAGTCAATCAGTCAGTCAGTCAGTCTCAGCCTGTCACTCAGTCAGTCACTCAGTCACTGTCAGTCACTCAGTCAGTCACTCAGTCAGTCAATTAGTCACTCAGTCTGTCAGTCAGTCAGTCAGTCTCAGTCAGTCACTCTGTCAGTCACTCAGTCAGTCACTCACTCACTCAGTCACTCAGTCAGTCACTCACTCAGTCACTCACTCAGTCAGTCACTCACTCAGTCACTCACTCACTCAGTCAGTCACTCAGTCAGTCACTCAGTTACTCACTCACTCAGTCAGTCACTCACTCACTCACTCAGTCATCCACCCACTCACCCACCCACCCACTGCCCCACTCACTCACTCACCCACTCACCCACCCACTCACTCACCCACCCACTCACCCACTCACCCACCCACTCACCCACCCACTCACTCATTCACCGACTAACCCACCCACTCACTCACCCACCCACTCATTCACCCACTCACTCACTCACCCACCCACTCACCCACCCACCCACCCACCCCTCCACCCACTCACCCACCCACCCACTCACCCACCCACCCCTCCACCCACTCACTCACTCACCCACCCACTCACTCACCCACTCACTCACTCACTAATCCACCCACTCACTCACTAACCCACCCACTCACTCACCCACTCACTCCCCCACTCACCCACCCACCCACTCCCCCACCCACCCCTCCACCCACTCACTCACTCACCCACCCACTCACTCACCCACTCACTCACTCACTCACCCACCCAACCACCCACTCACTCACTCACTAACCCACTCACTCACTCACCCACTCACTCACTCACCCACCCAACCACCCACTCACCCACCCACTCTCCCACCCACCCACTCACCCACCCACTCACTCACTCACCCACCCACTTACTCACCCACTCACTCACCCACCCAACCACCCACTCACTCACTCACTAACCCACCCCCCAATCCACTCACTCACCCACTCACTCACCCACTCACCCAGCCACCCACCCACCCACTCACTCACTCACTAACCCACTCACTCACTCATTCTCCCACCCACCCACTAACCCACTCACTCACCCACTCACCCACTCACCCACCCACTCTCCCACTCACCCACCCACTCTCCCACTCACCCACCCACTCTCCCACCCACCCACTCACCCACCCACTCACTCACTCACCCACCCACTTACTCACCCACTCACTCACCCACCCAACCACCCACTCACTCACTCACTAACCCACCCCCCAATCCACTCACTCACCCACTCACTCACCCACTCACCCAGCCACCCACCCACCCACTCACTCACTAACCCACTCACTCACTCATTCTCCCACCCACCCACTAACCCACTCACTCACTAACCCACCCACTCACTCACCCACTCACCCACTCACCCACCCACTCTCCCACCCACCCACTCACCCACCCACTCACTCACTCACCCACCCACTTACTCACCCACTCACTCACCCACCCAACCACCCACTCACTCACTCACTAACCCACCCCCCAATCCACTCACTCACCCACTCACTCACCCACTCACTCACCCACTCACCCAGCCACCCACCCACTCACCCACCCACTCACCCACCCACCCACTCACCCACTCACTCACCCACTCACCCACCCACCCACCCACTCACTCACCCACCCACCCACCCACGCACTCACTCACCCACTCACTCACCCACCCACCCACCTACTCACCCACTCACTCACTCACTCACCCACCCACCCACCTACTCACTCACTCACCCTCTCACTCACTCACTCACCCACCCACCCACCCCTCCACCCACCCACCCACTCACCCACCCACCACCCCCCCACTCCCACCCACCACCCCCCAGGACTTTACTTGGCTGGATCACGCCTTCTCCGCTGTCAGCCGATTCTCACCCACCCACTCACCCACCCACTCACCCACTCACTCACCCACCCACCCCTCCACCCACTCACCCACTCACTCACCCACCCACCCACCCACCTACTCACTCACTCACTAATCCACCCACTCACCCACTCACTCACCCACTCACTCACCCACCCACCCACCTACTCACTCACTCACTAATCCACCCACTCACCCACTCACTCACCCACTCACCCACTCACCCTCTCACTAACCCACTCACTAACCCACCCACTAACCCACTCACTCACCCCCCCACCCACCCACCCCCCCACCCACCCACCCCACCCACCACCCCCCCACTCCCACCCACCACCCCCCAGGACTTTACTTGGCTGGATCACGCCTTCTCCGCTGTCAGCCGATTCTCCCCGGACCTGGGCTCGGCCTTGGACGAGCGGTTCCTGCTCGCAACTCAGCTCACCTATCACACCATCGCCTCGCACCACGGCGTCGACACCTCCTCACTACGCCGCTCTGTCTGGAACTACGTACACTGCATGTACGGGATCCGGTGAGTGGTGGTGGTGAGTGGTGGTGAGCGGTGGTGAGCGGTGAGCGGTGTGTGTGTGTGGTGGTGAGTGGTGGTGAGCGGTGTGTGTGTGTCTGTGTGTGTATCACTCTGTGTGTGTGTGTGTGTGGAACTACGTACACTGCATGTACGGGATCCGGTGAGTGGTGCTGGTGAGCGGTGGTGAGCGGTGGTGAGTGGTGAGTGTCTGTGTGTGTCTGTGTGTGTCTGTGTGTATCACTCTGTGTGTGTGTGTCTCACTGTGTGTGTGTGTGTGTCTGTGTGTCTGGAACTACGTACACTGCATGTACGGGATCCGGTGAGTGGTGGTGAGTGGTGAGTGTGTGTGTGTGTGTGTCTGTGTGTGTGTCTGTGTGTGTGTCACTCTGTGTGTGTG